GATGTCAATCACTGGAGTGTCTGGTCTTCAGATGACTTATTGCTATATGTAATATGCATGATCAGAATCAGAAAGTCACTCACTCACTCGGTTCAGTTTGTTCCTCTTTCGGAAAGAGTCGCTCCGAACAACAATTGTATGGGGCCAATTGTAATCTTTTCTTATATCGGTTGGCTTATATCGCTAATGAATAGTTGTTGAAGCGGATGATCTTCTCATGAACAACGGTTAGCTTTGTTTTTGAAACCAGGAAACACGAGTAGAAAAGACATTTGTATAGCGATCCCGTTAACAGTGGGAAAGTAGATACACTGCAAGTCAGGTTGAATAAGACTTCGAATGGCCCCAATTTTCTTTTTAAATAGCTACAGCTAACATTCTGTAATCTTTCCTCGCGAAGCGGCTCGAATCGGGTGGTCAGTCTCCAAGTGAAATAACTGTACGCAAGCTCCTCGCAGCGAAGCGCTCTTCACTGGGAGAGTATACGTAACGAAGGTATCAAGCGCTGGGACGGAGCTTTTGGGCGTAGCTTAAGTGACAAATGGTGATCACCAAGAACGAAAACTGGCACATAACAACATTCATTTTCGCTTAACCAAACTTGTGATTCAACATCTAACCACAACACTTTACACATCATCATTGTGTACGCGCGGACCGGTGGGGTAGCCTTGTGGTTAAAGCGTTCGCCCATCACGCTGTCGATCCGGGTTCGATTCCTCACATGGGTACTTTGTGTGAAGCCAATTTATGTTGTCCCCCCTCGTGATATTGCTGGAATAGTGCTAAAAGCAGCATAAAACCCAACTCGCTCATGCACTCTGAATGCATCATCTTTATTATTCTGTTAAACCCAATTTCACCTCACCTCACCTTTATCATTTTGCGGATCAGCGTTCATCATCAGTCTTTACCTTTTATAAATACCCGTGAAAGTCCGGGTTAGAATTTTGATCCTCAGTAAGCCATGCTTGCTTGCTTGACACGTGTCATCGGTTCCCAGTTGCGCAGATCGATGCTCGTGCTGTTGATCACAGGATTGTCTGGTCCAGACTCGATTATTTACAGACCGCCGCCATATAGCTGGAATATTGCTGAGTGCGGCGTCAAACTAAACTCACTCACTTACCTTTTCTAAGAACAGTTCATAATGTGAATCAACAAATGTTGACATTTAAAAAAAACAAACCCAAAAAACAATACAAAACAAACACACACACACACACACACATACTATTTTTAAAAAGCATTAATTTTACCACCACTCACATTTAATAGTTCCCTACATGGGTACAATGTGTGAAGCCCATTTCTGGTTTTCCCCGCCATGATATTGCTGGAATATTGCTAAAAGCGCCGTAAAACCATGCTCATTCACTAATTCCATACAAACAGGCAGAAAAAATTAATACATACAAGGGGTGGTGTGGTAGCCTAGTGGTTAAAGCGTTCGCTCGTCACGCCGAATGCCCGGGTTCGATTCCCCACATGGATACAATGTGTGAAGCCCATTTGTGGCATCTCCAGTCATGGCATTGCTGGAATATTGCTAAAAGCGGCGTAAAACTCACTGACTCACTAATACATACAAAAAGTTGCATTAATGTGTTACTGACAATAACATATAGTAAAATAGAAATTTTTCTAGCATATATATAATGAGACAATGCGGATTGTGGAAATATTTACACAGTGATACGAGCAGAACTTATTCTATGACCAGATTTAAACGACTGTGATGTCTCGCAAACAATATCTATCATATTTTCAGCATACTAAATTCACTGTGATGTAACACGCCTTGAGGCTACTGTGACAGCTCGTGGAGAACAAAAAAAAACGCAATGGAAAATTTTCAATTTTATTATATTTTTTTCAAAGAAAATTAATTTCATAACATATATGTTAACATATGTCGCCAAAAAGGAAACTCTCGAGGACACACGTAAATTGACTGTCATGTGTGACGGGGGGTATATATATGCACTTTTATTCCTCCATAGGAGAGTACATAGAAATGCGATAATTCGATAAATTAGGGTTTAGAGTTCATTGAAATAGATATACAGAATTTTTCACAGAGGGAGGATAGGCCTTTCACAACAGTCTCTATGTACGACCATAGGTCGTCATCTGCCAAACCCACGGATAAATGAGTCTACCTAACCACTCCAATATGTATACATAAACGTATAGCATCTTCCAAATGCCCCTACATTTGTGTGAAATCGCATTGTAATGTTCAAATGTCGAGACTAAGCTGGGCACAGCAAACACAAAACAAATGTTAAAATTTATAACCTCAAACCATACATTACAAGCTGAAAAATTACTACAAAATTACGCCCGCCCCTAAGAAACACAAAACATAAACAACAACAACACACGCACACAAAACACCCCAAAACACAAAAAAGATCTATCTCGTGTCGGAAATATCTTCTTACAAATGTGAATTTCTCTACAATATACATTTTATGTCAAAAATCACATATGACACTCCCACGAAACCCGTGCTAATTGACATTCCCACGAAACCCGTGCAAATTGCTGTGCAAATTCATAGGATGGACTGTAGTCGCAGCTGCTCTCTCTTTCCGTAAATCTATAAACATTGTACCGATATATGCAAAAATACGTGTACTATAATTGGCTCATTGTAATGAAAAAGCATGCCGAGACCAATAACGGCATTTGTCTGGTTTGAACCGGTTCCAAAACGCCGCAAGCTGAAAGTACAACGATGCTCGTGTGCACTTGCACGTGCAACACGAACTGGCCTCAATACGGGTGGCATCGGAATTTAGGTCACCCCTGATGTATGCCAGTCACTCCAACGCAAAATATAATAACGGGACATAGAAAAACAACAACCGAAACAACTGACAAAATCAGTTTCGTAAACAATTAAGAGTTACACTGCTTTCCTTGGAAAATAATCGTTTACAAATTTAATGTTATTTCCCCGGAATTGTTTAGATGTTATTCTTGTTTTTTCTTTAGGAAATCGTTGCGTGTGGTTACAGATATTAACCAGTTCATTTGTATATCTTTGGAGGCTGTGAGAACTTGATCGATATTGATTGGCATAGCGTGAAAAAACATCTCACCGAAAAAAACCGACACACCCAATGCAAACCAGATTCGTTATCACGCGCGACCTTCAAAGTGGAAAACCAGCCTTATCGTTAAGTGTGGGTTTTAACAAGATCGTCATTAGAGTGAGATTAGAAAATACTACCCTCATCAAATTTTCATCACTCCCCTACCACTAACGCAAAAACAAGCCAGCTTAATCATTGCATGAGGAGAAAGGTTTAAGGTATTGGTAGTCTTGAACAGACCGACCGAAATCCCTTCGTTGCTCAGGGATAGCTCTCTGAGCGCGGCGAAGCCTGGTCCAGCTCGAATATGTAGAACGCTTCGTTTGTCAATATAGAAAGCCGGCGTTTTCCCTGACCGGCCCGCTTCAGACTCGCCAAGGACGATCGGTCAGTCTGCCAGCCAGCCGTCCGCTTTGCCTGACGTTCGCTTACGCGAGCAGACCATTGCCAGACTAGTCCGCCCGCTATTTATGGCGGCAATCGCCTCGCGCTTGAGGTCACGAATAATCCATAGCACTGCAGACGGCTCGACCTCGCTTGTGACGTCACTAGCCAGACACCTTTGATTGTACAGGCTTTGCGTTGTCCCTGTACGACTGAGAACGCCGGTACGTGTACAATACGAACAAGTACGACACTATTCACGAATCGAAAGCCCTGTAAACTCGAATTTCTAACACACAAGTCCTTTCAGCCCGTAAACACGAGTGATGCACACTCCATTTTAAAAAAAACACTCTACCTTCTGCTTGAAATAATATGTTGGTGTTTGCGGAGGGAGGTTAACACACTCGCCTCGCCGGAGTCGTTTATTTGCAGAAAGCAATGTGCACGGTTATTTTTTTCTGCGATGGCATGGTTTATTCTTCATTATAACGACACATTACTTTTTATATTAGCGGTAGAGCATGATCCCACTGGCTGAGACCGGGGTTGTTTACGTGCTTGGCAAGTTGAAAAAACTAGGTCACTTAACGCAGGGGGCGCAGCGGCTGATAGCAAAGCCAAATATTTCACTGGGCTCTCTCGGCAGTTGTGTGAGCATACAGGACCGCGGCCAGTACTACACATGCTGCGGCATACAGACTTGACGACACAAGAGGATTTCAACCCATATTTCAAAGCTGTGGGTTTGGATGGAACACCAGGCATTGCACCAATCGGTGACTCCTCACTTACAGAGGGTCCTGAAACGATTTCAAAACGCTTCAGTTCGTAGTTTAAGCGGACCTAACGGTTTTCCGATTGTGAATGATTTCTCGAAGATGAGTGTTGCGGACTACAGGAAGGTGGTTGCCAGTGTCAAAAAGTGCACCCCGACTGAGAAGGGTATGGATTATGATCCGTTTCTAGCACCGCCGCCGTTTCCGATTCAACAAATGCCTGTGTTCAGTCCCGTAGATTCATCGAGGAGCGAAAGAGGGGATACTATTCTTGAAGGGGAGACGATTTCATGTTTCTTAGTCGGAGGCGAAAAGAGGTTATGCCTTCCGCAGATTCTCAACACAGTTTTGCGAGATTTTACCTTACAGCAAATTAACGCCGTATGCGACGATTTACACATTTTCTGTTCACGATGCAGCCCGGAGCAGTTGGACACTCTCAAAGTGACAGGGATCTTACCACTAAGCGCTCCAAGTTGTGGACTTATTACTAAAACTGATGCGGAACGACTGACGAATGCTCTGCTTCATCGAAACCCCGAAAAATATCTCGAGCCCCCATCCCCAAACAGCTTCAAGGTATATCACGAGTGTTTTGGCAAATGCAAAGGCATATTTCACCCTGAACTTTACACAAGCCCGGATGCCAAATGTATCCAGTGTATGGATTGTCACGGGTTGTTCTGTCCCCCGAAATTTGTCTGTCACTCTCACAAAGCTCTAGAAAACAGAACGTGTCACTGGGGCTTCGATTCAACTAACTGGCGGTCATATTTGCTTTTAACGAAAGATCAGGACTGCAGGGAAGAACTACGTCTCATGAAAGCCCGGTTTGACCCGGGAAATAAATACAAACGTAAACAGGTAAGTGTGCACATTGTGATGACGCAACCCACTGCTTACAGCGGACAACCTGTCATGTTGTTTCACGACAACTTGCTTCGGCATGTCATATTTTCACGCATAACTGTTCTGTATCTGGTTTAGTGTTGTCGTTCTCAATATGTGAAACTATTTCTGTGCAGTGTCTGTTCTCAAACCTGCTTGCCATGCTTTAGTCAGTATTTTCAGTCGTGTGATATTTTGTCGCTTAGCCATGTTAATGTTTACGCTACTATACTGCGTGGTTGTATTTGCAGCATATGCTGAAATATCACCCTAGAGCACAATGTTTACTTGCTTCTCATTTCGCTGTTGGGTTTGTTCGGTTGTATTTTAATAATTTTCACACAGACACCAGCTGTAACCTCAGGCCGCACGCAGTGACTTGTCACAATCAATAGATGTGCCTTTACGCTAACTGAAAATACAGTCGAATTTTCACGTCTTAGACCAAACCACAACATGACAACAGACTATTTTATCCGTCGTAAGGTTGACCTATTTAGTTATTCATGTAAATGCATGGTGTGAATGTAACGCTTGGTTGGCAATAGACCGTGATCAGTGAAGCGAAACTCTAACAAGCCGACGGGTCAAACTCGAGCTTCTGTTTAGACGCGAAGGAGAAAATACTCTGCAAAGTTGTCATTTATATTTTCCAAATTTCGACAGGATGTACATTTTCAACGCCAAGCATCTAGACAGATGTTAAATATGAAACGTGTTATATTGACGTTCTATGGTGAGGGTATAAGGTTACTTATTATGAACGTTGTTTGAACAGTATCACAATGTTCATTGTTAAATGTCCGAAAGGACACGAACATTACTCGTTTGGATTGTTTAAATTGTTTTAGATGTTAAACACATTACCATTCCACGACTGTTATACCATACTTTACTGTTCGATAAAACGACCATAGCGCTCTATGTACAAATCATCTTTATTTTTTTTAAAAACCTACATTTTTTCGAAAATATTGGGAGCACATTTTATGTGGTTTCTTTACTAGTTTTTATGGTTGAGGATCTAAATCAGCCTTGACTTAATCGCGTCAACCTAATTTACGAATGTCCGCATTATCGAATGCAGTGTTATTGCTCTTTTATTACACAGAAGCACTCAGGACGGTGTTTGAACCGAATGACACAATTACAGTTGCTTGCGTAATATTTCATTGACTAAATCCCAGACCTCGTGTAAACACGCAGGGTTCATTTTGCATAGGGGTGCTTGGAATGCATCGTTAATTAAAATCAATATTTCACGGTATTTCACGGTATTATCTAATTAGTTTTGAAAGCACCCTAATCTAATGATGGCCAAACAAAGGATAATTGAAATAACACACTGTCAAAATGCTTTGAATTGGTTACAAGTCGGAAAGGACCAACGTGGGACATCCCGTCGGCCAAAATGAAACCGTCCGGTTAATGCTTCCCGAGACAAAATTACGTAATTCGATCCCTCCTAGCTGTTTGTCGGCTCAGCATGCATTCCACGAACAATATCTGTAATCCGCTGTTCAGTTTGCATAACAAGAGCTCCTTGTGGTATTTACAAAGGTTTGAGAGACACGAGTGCACATGGTGTTAGTCGAGACGTGCGGTGGACTGGCGTCTTACTTCAAAGAGATCCATTTCTTCAGTCGAGTTCGCTCGGGGCTAGGAATATGTAAAATAGTGCAAGGGAAATTGAGATAGGGTGTGAGCATGGGAATTAACGGGAGGGGTTTGCCACAATGTCGCCGTTTGTTTGCGTAACATTTTGAAAGAATAACTTGATATTTCGTGAGCAGGAAGCCCATGGAAGATTGTAGGAAGCAGGTTGGCAAGTGGAATGCTAAATGTCTGAACGAAAAAATGTTGCTAAAATTCTGTAGTTCTTTTTTATCGACTATTTGATTGATCCTTAATGGAAACAATTTCTTATTCACACATGTCAAAACCAATATGTGAGCATATTTAATTCGAAGGAAATATATATATAATCAATTATTTATCACCAATATGTGGTAAGCGTTTAAGGAAATCAATTGTAACTGATGGAAACTATTTATTTTTATCCATAAAAATTGTCATCATGCTTTATTAATGTCGGTTGATATTCCATGACATATGCGATTGTAGAGCATGTGGCGAAGAGACAGTGGTTTCAGTAAACTTCCATTAAAATGAGATTGAAGGGACCAATAATTAATAACCATGTTTCCTAAGGATAAGGACCAAACAAACAGTTACCTGTTAGTTTGTTATAAAGGAATTCAATTTAAACTAGTTTGCTGTATGTCAGTAACTTGGCATTTTACAAGTTTCTTTCAAAAGTGGTATTTTCGGATTGAACTCTTTTAGGTATTTAATTTGAGTCACTGATGACTGGCAAATGTTCATTATGAATGATATATTCATTTCATCCACCCGAAAACACTCCATATGAGATCAAAATATTTAGTGTTTTGCATATATGCAAATAAATTTCTGTGATTACTTTGGTAGGGGATGTATTCAATAGGGCTGTTCAATATAACCGGTTTACCAGTATTTACCGGTTCAGACGTGAAAACGATACGTATTGCGATACACTGATCGCAAACCGGTATTTTGACTTGCATTCGGAAAACTTCGTAACACTCGGAAATCTTCGGATATTTCCTTGTTTCGTTTGTGCCAAATATTATTCACATTTATATTTTATCATGATTAAAAGTTATTAAAGCTTAATCAAGCATAGTGATTTTGTTGTGTTTTTCCTCTATAAATCAAGCATTAACTGGATTATAAGTAGTTTTTGTTTAGAAATACTTCTTGCAATATATTGCAATACATATCGTAATACATGCTTTTGCATCGCAATATGAAAATTCTCTACAATACCCACCCTTAGTATTCAACACCTGTTTTGAGGTGAATTGACCGGGAATAAGGTTGTGTGACTGTTGTAGTGTAGTCTGTGCTCGTGCTGTCAACCCTTGGTTTGTTCCAACCAACTTTGTTAAGAAATAATTATTTTGATAGAATATTAATATGCTGACAGATGCAACAACTACCAAAACCACATTCAATCTCTAGAGGGGCTGGTGGGGTAGTCTAGTGGTTAAAGCGTTTGCTTGTCTTGCCGAAGGCCCGGGTCCAATTTCCCACGTGGGTACAATGTGTGAAGCCCATTTCTAGTCTGATATTGCTGGAATATTGCTAAAAGTGGCATAAAACCATACTCACTTACTCACGAACGAGAACAAAGACAAGAGTGTCACTGTCAGTTCAAATCCCTATGAATTTGTTGAGATACTAATTTGCACAACAATGTAACCCTAATGCATGAGGAATTGATGGACTTAAGACACAATAATACACTCATTTATTTGCCTCAGGATATTGTTTGTCATCAAATATTTGCACTGAACGTCTTTTTCTGTCAATGTTTGTTTCGTCAATCTTGATGAATCATCAATTTTTCATCCTGAGCTTGCAATTATGAGATTGTGACCATTGGTGCTCCAATCCCAACAATGGGACTTTTGCTTCCGTCACCTACTACCTCGTACCACCTATTGACGTGTATAGAAGGGACTCAACCAAAGACAGCTTAAGTGCATAATGAAATCCGCCAGAAGGGTTAATTATCTGCGATACTTGCCCACTTCAATACAGATGGCGAACTTGGCCCCACCTAAAGGGATTTTGGTGTCGTTCAGACTTGCTGATTGCAATTTTTTGTCTGGACACCCTGTCAGAAATTAGGCCCTCCTGCGTAATTGGCGAGAGTCTGGTATGTTTAATGTCACAGTATATTGACATCTCCCTTAGGATGTGAAACAGCCGTAGTTAGAACTTAAAAAACAACAACATTATTAACTGGTTATAGGAATGTGCTCTTCTGAATTTATTCTTTGACCTAAAAATAATTTCATGTAAGTTTTGTCTTCTTACTTACTCCGTGATTATTGTCGTTGGTATTGCCATAATTTATGTAACTGGAAAAATGTTCGAAATCAATTAAATCTTGACTACGTGGACATTTTTGTTTAAGGATAAGCCTAAATTTTAGTCCTCTTTACTCATGTATTTATACAGTATAAATATATTTAAATGCGTAACCTGTTAATAGTCACAACATGACGGGGCGGTGGGGTAGCCTAATGGTTAAAGCGTTGGCTCGTCACGCCGAAGACCCGGGTTCGAATCCCCACATGGGCACAATGTGTTAAGCCCATTTCTGGTGTCCCCCGCCATGATGTTGCTGGAATATTGCTAAAAGCGGCGTAAAATCAAACTCAGTCAGTCAGTCAGTCACAAAATGACTGGGAGTGATGAGGTAGCTGTTGGTAATGGTGTTTGCTTGTCATACCCAAGACGGAGCAGTGCAGTAGCCTGGGGGTTTAAGTGTTCACTCGTCACAACGAAGACCAGGGTTCGATTCCCCTCATGGGATCGTGTGTGAAGCCCGTGTCAGTGTACCCCGCTGTGATGTTGCTGGAATATTGCTAAAAGCGGCGTAGAACCATACGATTCTGAAGATTCCCCACATGGGTACAATTCCCCACATGGGTACAATGTGATGCCCATTTCTGGTGTCCCTGCCAAGATATTGCTGGAAGATTGCTAAAAGCAGCGTAAAACCATACTCACTCGCTCACAATATGGCCGAGACTCTGATGATAAACATCATATCGTAATTGCTATGTTGAAACATAATTGACCAGTGAAAAAACATGTCCTTGTACAAAGTAAATGGAGAATACTGACTTGGAATCAAGGTTACTTTTAAATTATGCATGTGGAATTAGAAAAGACTTACACGCTAGTATTATTTTGCCAGAAACACGTCTGTAATGATGGTGAGTAATGGCCTATTGCCAAGTTATTTTCTTCTCCAATTGATATTGTTTTTCAAGGCGGTAAAAAAATGTATTGCACGCAACATGCTGAATTTTTTTTTGTACAACAGATGATTAACTAGCCATGCGCCATGGCAGTGGCAT